TGGCGCCCGGCAGCCGCCCCAGCTCTCGATGGTGCGGGTGGCCCGGTCCAGGGAGCTGCTCACGCCCGCCGTGGTCACCATGTCGCGGGCCGCCTGCAGCATCTTGAGTACGCTGGCCTGCGCGGAGCCGGCCGTGAGGTCCGGGCTGGGGGCGCGCGCGGGGCTGGCAAGGCTCTGCACCCCGTTGAAGCAGCTGTAGATGCCCTGGGTGGAAGGGGAAGGGGGACCGACCACCCGGGTCAGCCACGCCCTCCTCTCCCAGGCATCGGCCTTCCCAGTCCCAGAAGCAGATGTTCGAGGCCCCCCCAAAGCACGGGACGGCTTGGAGACGGAGTGGGATGCATGATCCTGGTCGACAGGTGTCTGCCTGGCCATCAGGCTCGCTGAGTGGCAGCAGGGAGGATCAGGCTGGGCCCATGGGGAGGGGGGGGAACCCCCACATTTTACTTCTGGGGACAGGGCCAGCTCTGACTACTAGGTGGGCACGCGTAAAACTAAGGTCTCCATGGGGAGGCGGGGGGGGGGGTACCTACCCTGCTGAAGGCCAGCAGGAAGTCCAGCTGGGAGGTGCTGGGCACCGAGTGGCGCAGCTTCCAGTAGACCAGGTGCTCCCAGGCGAAGACCAGCAGGGCCAGCCCCATGGCCACCAGCAGCATGTAGAACACACCCGCCATGTTGTCGATATCCAGCTTGCTGCTCATCACCTCGTTCTTCTCGTTGTGGCAGATGCCTGAGAGCCAGACTGTCTCCAGTTTCTGTGTCTCTCCTGAGAAGCAGGGAGGGGGCACCTGCTGCTCAGGAATTTCTCACCAACACCTCAGATACAGAAGGGGTCTAGCTAGGGCCAAGGTCCATTCTGTTGGTTTTCAAATGACACAGGGATCCAGCCTAGCAGAGGCAAGGGAGGAGAGGAAAGGAAAGCCCCACTGGGGGAAAAGGGGATGCCAGCCTTTGCCTGTGCTCACCCCCAACAAAAGTGGTAAGCGTTGGCATTGTTCATTTATTCACATTCGTTCATCATTGACCATTTTTGTGCCAAGCCTGGATGTGGTCCTCTAGTAGACTATGAATTCACCTTAATAGGAAATCAACAGTTGGAGGGTGGGGGTTTTTTGGAGGGGGTCTTTGATTTTGGTTCAAATACCATCCACCCAATTCAACCCCTTCCATGTGCCAGGATTATACAAATGCCCTACCATGCCTGGCTCAGGAAGCATTTTATTTGATAAATGTGGAGCGCTTATAAATTCAGAGCTTTCTCTAGGTTTGGGGCAGGCTGGGCTGGACCCCTTGTGTCTGTGAACCCCGGCTGTAGAGGCCAGCCTGGCTGTAGCTCTTAACTAGGCAGGTCCATGGCCTCTAGATAATATATCAGGATGGCAAAGGAGGCGCTCAACTGAGGAAGATCATGGAGGGGTCTTGGGGCCAGGCAAAGCAGTTCCACAACCCCCCCTTACCTCCCTTCACCCCCACCCCCAGCACGGCCTGAGCGGCTTAGCCTCCCTGCTCCCTGGGGACTCTCCAGCTCTGGTCCTTGCTCCATCCTGCAGGCTCACCCTTTTCTCTGGGTCTCCATCCAGTTGCTCCTAATACCTGCCCACCCACACCCCCTAGAGGCCTCTTCCTACAGACATCCCTGAGCACACAGAGGGCGGTGGTGGTAGTACCGGCTCAGTGGCCCACCCAGGACCCTTCCCAGTCCCCCACGGTGAGGGTACCCACCGTCCCCCAGGAACTGCAGCAGGGCCAGGTCGATGGCCCGCTTCCAGTGCGAGTCCTTCTGCATGGCGATGCCGTAGCCAGTGGTGGCAAAGACCTTGCCGGAGCCGATGGTGACCAGCTTGCAGCCTTCATCCTTGCCCGCCATGTAGTTGAGGACAGCAGCATCATAGATGAAGGCGTCCAGCTTCCTGGGAACAGGCTGAGCCCTCAGAACTAGGGATCCTGCAGGTAGGAGGGTCCCGGACCCAGGGCCTAACAGGGGTCTGAGCCCCGGTTGGGTACCACTGAGGAGGGACAAGTGGACAGAGCCGCCTCTGGTGCCCTTGCACGGATCCCTCCTGTCCTCCTCAGAGATGCTAGGAGGACTTTGCCCCAGAGGAAAGGCACCCCTCCCCCTCCTCTACATGGCCCTATGACCCAGAGACAGTCCCGCCCCACCCAGAAACCAAAGCTGAATTCTGGTGGGTATCTGTGTGTGTGGGTGCACCAGTATTAGGGCTTGAACTCAGGGCCTACGAGCTGTCCCTTAGCTTGTTTGCTCAAGGCTGGTGCTCTAGCACTTGAGCCACAGCTCTGCTTCTGGCTTTTTGTTGGTGATTAATTGGATTTTCCCGCCAGTGCCGGCCTTGAACTTCTCAGATCTTAGCCTCCTGAGTGACTAACATCACAGGCATGAGCCACTAGCACTCCACTGGGCATATGTTTTTGCTTCAAGCTCCACTCTGCCTTCAGACCTCCTCCCCCTCCCCAGGAGTCCTGCAGGACAAACCCGCTCACTGGCCCACCGTAGGTCTATAGGAAAGGTATAGAGTGCTAGGTGCTGGTGGCTCATGCCTATAATCCTAACTATTCAGGAGGCTGAGATCTGAGGATTGTGGTTTGAAGCCAGCCTGTGAGACTCTTCTCTCCACTTAAGCAGCAGAAAACTGGAAGTGGCGCTGTGGCTCAAAGTGGTAGAACACTAGCCTTGAGCTGGAGAGATCAGGGACAGCACCCAGGCTCTGAGTTCAAACTCACTGACACACAAAACAAAAGATAGGCACAGATCTAAGGCTGGTCCCTGGAGAGATCTGTGGCTGGAGGCAGAGGATGGGGCAGGGCTGGGGACCTACCCCATCTTGAGGCTGGTGAGCGCATCCTCCACCGAGCGCTGGTTGAACTTGACCATGTGGACGTGCATGTCTCGGTAGTTGCTGCGGATGTTCCTCTCGGTGCTGCCGTTGGGCACCGTGCCGAAGCGGAAGGGTGGGTACTGATCCTGAGGCCGCTGAAACTGCCGGCAGACAGCAGCCATGTGGCCCCTTCTTCCCAGCCTTGCAGAGATCAGAGCCCCAAGCCTCAGCCCCACAATCCTGCCCCAGGTCTGAGCCTGCATAGTCACAGCACAAGGTCTGAGACACTTGTCCAGGCTACTCCTGAGGCACCGGAGGTTCACGCCTGCGATCCTAGCTACACAGCAAGCTGAGATCTGAGGATCTCCATTCATTCAAAGCCAGCCCAGACAGGAAAGTCTATGAGACTTTTATCTCTAATTAACCAGCAATATGCCAGGAGTGGAGCTGTGGCTCAAGAAATAAGAGCACAACCTTGAGAGAAAAAAAAAAAAGCGAAGGGACAGCATACAGATCCTGAGTTTAATCCTCAGTACTGGCACACACACACACACACACACACACACACACACACACACACACACAAATAGAACTCAAAGGTTCAAAATGGGGAGACTTACCTAAGGCCATCCAATGGACCTGGGTGGTTGCTGCTCAGTCCCTCCGTAGACACCCCACCACCCAGCCATGTCCCCACTCCATCTGTAGCTCACATTCCCAGACTGATCATCCTATGCCTGCTCATCTGAGGTCTGCCCCCACCCTTGCTGTCCCCTTCCCCCCCCCCCACCGGGGCTGGCCCAGAAACCTTCTTGTCACTGAGGCCCGACACGGTGTCAATGTACTGCTCCTGGATCATGAAGGCGGCCAAGTTGGCTGTGTAGCTGGCCAGGAAGATGACGGCGAAGAACGCCCACACCAGCACCATAATCTTGCTGGTGGTGCCCCGTGGATTCTCAATGGGCACTGAGTTGTTGAAGACCAGTGCCCACAGCAGCCACACGGACTTGCCGATGGTGAAGGATGGTCCCCCAGGCTCTGGGGGACAGAGGGAGGATGCTGGAGACCCCAGACGGCTGCCATCCTGCCCTGGCCCTCTTCCCAGACCTGGGTGAACTCTTACTCTTGCCCTTGGTGAGGTTCTGGTTGTAGCTGACGGGGCTGAAGTACTCAAACATGAAGACGGTGATGGCTACCACGGTGAGGCACATGACAAACATCATCACCCACACTGCGGGGCTGTAGGGCTCTGGGGAAGGAGGCAGGAGGCTCAGACCTCAGCTCCGCCCCCCCACCCCCCCATCCCCGCTCAGCAGCTACCAGTGGGCCGGCCAGCCCCTTGGATGGAGACCAAGGGGCTCCTGATTCGTGAGACAGCAGAGCCCTGGAGAGACCCAGATGGAGGGCAAACATCTGCGGTCTCCTTCCTTCCGTCCACCCTGGACCAGGTACACACATCCCCGTCTAAGCCTTCCTTTGCCCTCCACACCCCTAGTCTAGCCCATAGAAGGGCTGATCTTTCAGCCTTAGTCTTTTTTTTTTTTTCTTGCCATATTCTTCATCCTCCCAGTGTGGACACATGGAGGCCCAGGGAGCCAGAGAGAACCTGGAGACTCTCAGTCTCCTGGAGTAAGGGACGAGTACTGGCGAGAGTACTTGTGAAGATCATCCTAGAGAGTGGGGTTTGTCCTCTTCTCTGTAACTGAGAAACCCACTCAGAGAGGCTGGGTGACTTGTCTAAGGCAGCCCAGCGGGAAGGGGCAGGGTTGGCATCTCACTCCTGCTTAGCCAGCTCTGAGCTTCTCCTCACAACCACCTGTTCACAGCTCCCCGCAGGAGCCCACTGAGCATGCGAGGCTCCCTGGCTGTCTCCCCAGCACCTAGCTAGGGCCTGGCACCGCAGTGCTGCCTCAACAATGCCGGGTTCCTGAACTGCGTGAGAAATGAGCATCTCTTCCCACACGCCCCACGGGCTCCATCCCTGCTCCACAGCCCAATTCCCGGCACAGCCTGTGGCCAACCTGTTATCCTGGCTTCTGTCCCCTAAACGGTGCCACCACCTGTCCCAGCTCCCTCCCTCTCCACCCAGGCTCAGACGCCAGCATCCGCTCAGCGTCACCAGCCTCCCACCAGCCTCAGAGATTCCCAGAGCCCGCACACCCCAAGTTCCATCCACGCTCCACCCACCAGGCCCTGAGCCCCTCTGTCCCGGACACGCCGCTGTCCACCCGAGCCTCACCCAGGAAGGCTGAGGGGGAGACGGTGCCATTGCTGCGCGCCACCATCACGCTGATGCCCGTCTCCACGAAGGGCACGGAGAAATCCACGATCTCAGAGCGCTCCTCGTTGATCGTGAGGGAGCCGATGGCCATGTCTGCCCGCTTGTAGTACACCTGGGGGCCCAGCGGGGGTTGAGAAGGGGCTTTTGGGGGTTCCCAGTCCCCTACAAGTCCATCTAGCTCCACCAGCTGGTCCCACTTGGGGTGGTCAGAGCTCAGCACTGGTCATGTGACCCCCTCCAGGATGGGCTCACCAGAAGGGGGCTGAGCTGCATGGGGCTGGGAGCAGCAGAGGAGGGGAGGGGGCCAGGTAGATGGCCAGGGGCTGGGGGGGAGGGGGAGGGAGAGCCTACCTCCCCGATCATGCCATTCCACACTCCTCGCACCCTCTTGCCGTGTTTGCCGTTGGTCACCAGGTACAGGTCATAGGAGAACTTGACCACCTTGGCCAGCTTCTTGAGGATGTCGATGCAGAAGCCCTTACAACAGAGCTTGGTGTAGGGGGCCACGTCCCCACTGCTGCAGCCACCACCAAGAGACCACGGGGAGTCAGGGCACCTCTCCACCCCACAGCCCCTGTCTGTAGCTCCTCCCAGCCTGGAGTGCAGGCCCTGCCCCCTGAGCATTGTGCATGCACGTGCGTGCACACACACACGCACACACACGTGTGTGCACACACTGCACAGCAGCACCCAGCTCATGCCAGAACCAGACCTGAAGGTATGGTTGCTCTGCCTGCGACAGGGCACGGTGTTGGGCACGCAGCCGCCCGTGCCAGGATCTGGGCTCTCCACAATGACGAAGGGCCGCTCCTCCAGCGTGGCTACTGTCAAGTGCCTGCTGTCCACCACCGGCTGCAGGGAGGTACTGTAGCGAGGCCATACTGGGTACTTCATATAGAGGACACCGTGATCCCAGCGCCCCACCTGCAAAGGATGATGGACCTGAACCCAGGACCTGCAGCCCTGCTACCCTCCTCCGGGTGGTCCCGGGCAAGGACTGGGCACAAGCCCAGTCCTCTGCTGGATGCAGCCCCCGTGCTGCGGCAGCACACAGTTCCTGAAGCCTAGGCCGACCCCGACTCATCTTTCAGCATGAAACCCTGAGCCCACCCTCTAGGCCCCTCTCACAGGCAGGTCCAATGTGACCCCATCACTCCCTCCCAAGCACACCTACCACCTCACTGAAGAAAACCCTGACAGGGAAAAAACAAAGGAGAGGATAACAATGCTCAATAGGAAATGTACTCATTACCTTACTCATGTAACTGTAACCCTTCTGTACAGAATTTTTACAAAAAAAAATTAAAAAAGAAGAAGAAAGCCCTGAGCCAGGTGCCAGTGGCTCATGTCTGTAATCCTAGCTACTCAGGAGGCTGAGATCTGAGGATCACAATTCAAAGCCAGCCCAGGCAGGAATATCCATGAGACTTATCTCCAATTAACCACCAGAAAAACCGGAAGTGGGGCTGTGGCTCAAGTGGTAGAGTGCTAGCCTTGAGCTGAAGAGCTGAGGGACAGCGTCCAGGCTCAGAGTTCAAGCCCCATGAAAAACAAAAAACAAACAACACAAAACCCTGTGTCGAGACCAGGCAAAATGCCCCTTCCTGCTGGGCTCCTACTCAGTCTTCGACAGCCCATCTCTAATGTCCTGTCTTCCGTCCCACACTCCCCAGTTTCCTTCTTTGACAGCAGAATACATTCCTGCCCCTGTGCTGATTTGCACACATCTGTCCTCAAGCATGGAGCGTTCAGATTCTAGCTGTTAGCATGTCCTTTGGGCCGGCCAGATGTGGGCTGCTCCCCCAGGGGCTGCCGCATGCTAACGGTGCTCTGCGGTACAGGGAAGGGAGGGTGTGCTCTGGGACCAGGGCCAGTCTCCAGGGATCTGGAAGGCTACCCAGTGAAGGAGACCTTAGCTGAGGGCGGGAGGGTGGGGGGTTGGCATAGGAGGCACTTTTGCTCAGCTGTGGGCCCGAGGGGAAACAGAAGAAGAGGAAACCAAAGGCCCCTGGGCTCACCCCCTTCTCACCATCTCCCAGAGGCGGTGCCGATTGAGGGTGATCACCACCATGGTGGGCCGGACCAGGTACCCACCAGGGCTAAAGGAGAAGTCTCTGCCCTCCCAGGTGACGTTCAGCAGGTGCCTGTGAGGAGGAGAGATGCCAGGTGTCCCACCCCCCCAGACTTCCCGGGGCCCCTCCCTCATCCCCACTACTGCCTTCAGTGTGTGTGGGGGGGGTCATTTGTTGTGTAATTATTGTTATTACTATCCTAAATATTTCCCTCTGTCACCCCCACGATCCAGGTGCCAGAGATTTTGTCTGTTCCTTTCAGATGAGGACACGAAGACGCAGAGAGGCGACCTAAGTTGGCACCAGGCACGTGCCAGTGGAGGCGGGGCCGGCAGGCCCACGCTGCCCGGGGAAGTGCCTACCTGTAGAAGGCCTCCCGGGCTGGCCCGACGGGCCCGGGGTGGCTGCGGCAGTCGCCAGCCGGAGCAGGCAGAACCCCATACTGGCGCCGGTAACCGTGGGCGCCCAGGGCCAAGATGGCCACACCGTCGCGGACCTTCTGGCGCAGGCTGAGACGCCAGCTCTCGGTGACCACGCTGATGAGGCCCACGGGGAAGGTGGTGGGCGGCGCGTCGGTGCTGCCCAGGGCCAGGTTGGGCACCAGCCACACGTGGCCGGGCCCCACCAGGCCGGCCTGGGCCGCCTCGGCGAAGAGCACCTCGGCCTCCTCGCGGGAGCAGTAGGCCACCAGCACCGGCGCGTCCACCTGGCGCAGCAGGCGCTGCGTGCGCGCGCGCGTGCCGCCCGGGCCCAGCTCCAGCGTGAGCACGTCCAGCAGCCGCCAGCTCAGGTAGCTGGCGTCGGCCGCGGCGCGCACGCCTTCCAGGAAGAGCGCGTGGCCCGGGTGCAGGCTGGTGATGACGGCGAAGGCGCTCCAGTCGTACTCCTCCAGCACCTTGAAGAGCACCTGCAGCTGCTGCTCCAGCGACACGCCCAGCTGCAGGAAGGCGGAGCCCGGCTCCTGCGGGCGGGCGGGGCTTAAGTCGGAAGGGCGGGCCTGGGCCGCCGAGCCCCGCCCACCTCGACCTCTCCACCCCGGTGCCCCGCCCACCTCGACCTCGCCATCCTCCTGCCCTGCCCACCTCGGCCTCTCCATGCCCCGCCCACCTCGGCCTCTCCATGCCCCGCCCACCTTGACCTCTCCATCCTCCTGCCCCTTCCACCTCGACCTCTCCATTCCCCCATGCCCCGCCCACCTCGACCTCTCCATCTCCCCCCCGTGCCCCGCCCACCTCGACCTCTCCGTGCCCCGCCCACCTCGACCTCTCCATTTCCCCCCAGTGCCCCGCCCACCTTGACCTCTCCATCTCCCCCCGTGCCCCGCCCACCTCTGCCTCTCCACCCCCACATGCCCCGCCCACCTCGACCTCATCATTCCTCCCCATGCCCCGCCCATCTCTACCTCTGGAATCCCCGCCCCACAACCCCTCTGTTTCTGCCTCCACGTGGTTCCTGCCCCCTCTACCCACTGGGATGCGCAGGGGAATCCTGCCCACACCCACCCAAGCTGGGCCACAGACCACACGCATCCATACTATCCAGGAACTTTTTACAAATGCAGATTCTCTGGCTGCACCCCACCACTGACTGAATCAGAATCTGACCACCAGCTCTAACCAGTTTTCTTCCAGTGTGAGCTAGCTAGTTTGAGAAGTGTTGGCCCAGATTGACTGAGTTTCAGAGGTGTAACACTGGGGTCTGCTTTTTGCCAGTGCTCAGAGAGCAGAGAACCATTGTCCTGAGAGCTGATGACTGGCTGGGAAAGCCTTCTCCTAACCTAAGACTCCAGCAAGAAAATTCCACCAAAGCTCACCAAATACATTCAGCACACACCTAGCACAGTCCCCTGCCAAGGGCTGCCCTCCCCTCGGACTACTACTACTGTCCCAGTCTTTTTTAAAGAAAGTGAATCAGGGAAAACTCTACAGACGTGTTCAACAACAGACAACTTGCAGTTAAAAGCGGGAGAGGTGAGGGAGCAGCTTAGAAGTTGCTATTCAGAAACTACACCCACTAATCACCATGCATGAACCTGACTTGGCTTCCAATTCAAACGAGCAGACTTAAAAATAAATGTTTATGATATTTATGAGGCAATAGGGAAATGTGAACACTGACTGAATATTTGTTGAAGTTAAGGAATTTTTTATTATGTTTTAGACATGATAATGGGTGATGGTTTAATTTTTTAAAGCTCTTATCTGCTGGAGATACATATTGAAATATTCATGTGTAGAATTATGAGATTTGTGAGCTTTTGGCTCAGCTTAACACAGAAGAGGGAGACGTGGGTAAGGAAAAGGATGGGGTACATTCACCAGGTAAGTGAGGGTATATGGGGATTCACTAAGCTTTTTCATATATGCTCAGAATTCTCTATAACAAGCCCAGTGCTCATTAGCAGTAATCCTAGCTACTTAGGAGCCTGAGATCTGAAGATCAAGGTTCAAAGCAACCTGGGCAGGAAAGTCTGTGAGACTTTTTATCTCCAATTAACCATCAAAAACCCAGAAGTGGAGCTGTAGCTCAAGTAGTCGAGCAGAGTGAAAAAGCTAAGAGACAGTGCCCAGGCCCTTGGTTCAAGCCTCATTACTGCTGGGGGGGGGGGCGGTGAACTTCCATAAGAAAGCACTAATACAGCTAAAGCAGATCAAATCTGTTTTCTTCCTTCAACACCTTGTCTGCTCCCTGATTTGGAAGACAGCTTAACCAAACTTAAACCACCCCTGTGGTCAGGACCCCCTCCTGACCCCCACTCCTCAGCCTCTCACTTCATCTCTCCCAACACCCCGTAGCCTCCAGACTTCAGAGTGGGCCTCATTTCTCGAAAGATCACATCTGACCGAGGCCCCATCCCAGTGGAGCCCACGCAGGCTTCCCTCCACGTGCATGCGTGCGCTGTCTTCCTTCAGCACACAGCCCGGCGTGGAACGGCAGTGAATGTGTTGGGCACATTCTCCCTGGAAGATGGCCAAGTGCAGCTAAGGCCAGAACCATGACTGCCTCCCCAGGGACAGGAACCCGCCCTGGATTGCTGTCCCTTATTTTCCAACTCCAGCTGTACACAGGGCGCAGCAGCCGATCCGGTCCCTCAACTGTCTCTGCCCAGCAGGGCTGGACAGACCTGACCACCACAGCTGGAGGAGTGTTGCCCACCTGCCCACTCTTCCAGACACACATGGACAACAGCCTGAAAAGTTGCAACATGAAACTATCCCCTCTGCCCCGCTCCACACACACACACTGATGCTCACACTTCCAGTCCTGCCTGCCGGCCCGGCCCATCCATTCTGACCACCCCTCGTCTAGACTTGGCTGGTCCCCAGCCCCCACCAGGATGTAGGCCCCAGGAAAAAGAGGGGGGACAGGAGGCTGGACAGGCACCTTGGGAGTGAGGACCACAGCCGAGCCCCCGCTGATGCTGAGGATGGGCACGTGAGTCTGGGAGGAGATGAAGTCCAGGAGCTGGGCCACCGCCTCTGTGCCCACGTTGTCCTCAAAGACGATGCCATGGACACGGGCAGCGCCCAGGAGCCCGCAGATCTGGGTGAGGAGGCTGCTGGGGTTGGTGTTGTTCACCCCCACGGTGAGGGGCTGGATCTCCAAGGGCAAGTCCAGGAAGCTCTGGGGGGTGAGGCGGACACGAGCCTGGGCCTGTGGGGGCCCCGAGCTACCAAACACCACAGCCACTGTCACAGCCTGCTCACCCGGCCCTGGGCCTGCGCACGCTCTGAGGAGCCAGGTGAGCAGTAGGGCTGGTCCCAGGGCCCCCCCCATGTCCACTGGAGGGTCCTGCAGAGGAAACCAGGACAGGCACAGGAGAGACAGAGATGGATAGACAGACAAGTGGTGAAGGCCAGGGTTAGAGAACACACATCCAGGAGACAGAGAAGAGAAAACCTCCCGCTTCAAGGACAGGCAGAGACATAGAGACAGACTGACACAGAGACACAGAGAAAGAAAGAGTGGTTAGCAGAGCGTTCTTGGGGTCTCCGGAGAGCCAGGACATGTCTTTTCACTGTCATTTTGTTGCTGAACAGCACAGGCGGCTAGAAAGCCCAGCCACCTGGACTCTTCGAAGAAAGGTGCACTGAAAATACTACCCTGGTGTTCAATAGCATGGATTTGAACGTGGGTTCTAATCTAGGACTACACTGTGGTCTTGAAGAACTCACTTAGCTTCTCTGAACCACAGTTTGGTGCCTGAGCTAATCACAGACTTCCCTCATGATGCTGAGGGCATAGACAACAGGTTACTCACTATCATGAGCAACCTCTAACGGGCTCACACCTGTCATCTTACCTACCCAGAGGCTGAGATCGGAGGATTGCAGTTCAAAGCCAGCCTGAACAGAAAAGTCCATGAGACTCTTATCTGAAAAAAGCTGGAAGTGTAGATGTGGCTCAAGTGGTAAAATGCTAGCCATAAGCACAAAAGCTCAGGGACAGTGTCCAGACCCTGAGTTCAAGTCCCAGTGCTGGTACACACACACACACACACTCACTCACACACACTCATACACACACATCTGTCAAACACAGAGCTCAGGGGAATCAACATGGCTACCACTAGAGCTCCACTATGAGATTGTGCATCTTCACAACAGAAATACAGACAAAAGCCAAGCAGCAACCAATACTCTTGGCCCAGAAACTTATGCCCTTTGGGGCTGGCACTCTGAAAAAATGGCTACTCAAGCCTTAGCTTTCTCATAGGCCATTCCTTTTTATTGTCTTTATGGCACCAAATTTCTCCTGTCCTTTTCTCCAAGGTCTAATTTATTTTATTTTATTTTTACTTATCTATTGCCGGTCCTGAAGCTTGACCTCTGCGCCCGAGTGCTGAGTTTTTGTGCCCCACTTCTGGCTTTTTATGGTTAATTTGAGAAAAAGAGTCTCATGGACTTTCTTGCCCAGGCTGTCTTCCAACCGTGATCCTCAGATCTCAGCCTCCTGAGTAGCTAGGATGACAGGCGTGAGCCACGGGCACCAAGCCCAAAGTCTAATTTTTTAGACAACTTCTCACAGAAGCCTGTCTCTACCTCTAATTCTAAGAAAGACAGAGGGCAGAGAAATGAGAGATGCCACAGAGAATATTTAAGAAACCTCCTGTTCTCCCAGAGTTGCACAAAGGATTTCCCCAACTGGGGACCATGGAACAAACTCGGCAGTTCAGACATGCAGCTCAGCATATGCATCCTGTGCACTGGGTGCTGCATGGGGAGAGGCTGATATGCGTGTAGCCTGCCCACCCTCCAGAGCTCAGTCAAACCCTCAGACTCACAGGCTGCTCTTAGCACCTCCAACCTCCTTGTGCTAAGTTGCACTCCACCATTTCCTGCCCTCGCTACCCCTCCCAAGCACCTAGCCTCTTCTAGCAAGGCCTTCACTCTGCTAAGGATCGAGAGCCTATTCACAGGAAGTTATAAAGAACCAACAACAGAGTGTTAAGATAAAGTGCCAGGTGGGAGAGCTTCAGGCTGAAAGGAACAGAAGTGAGAGTACTTGTATGTGTTGAAAAAAAAAAAAAACAACTCTCCAGCCAGGCGCCTGCTGACTCACGCCTGTAATCCTAGCTACTCAGGAGGCTGAGATCTGAATATGGCAATTGGAAGCCAGACCAGGCAGGAAAGTCTATGAGACTCTTATCTCCAATTAGCTACCAGAAAATCAGAAGTGGCGCTGTGGCTCAAAGTGGTAGAGTGCTAGCTTTGAGCAGAAAAGCTCAGGGACAGCAACCAGGCCCTGGTTCAAACCTCAGAGCCAGCAACAACAACAAAATCTCTCTATACGCACGGTTGATCTACACAACTTTACAAATGGCAATGTGGAAAAGTAGCTCGAGTCTGGGATGGGATCCTAAGTCCTTCTGCTTTGGTGATCAGCTGAGGCTTTCAAATGATGCGGGCAAAGTCACTGCCAAGCTAGGCATCAGTGGCTCAAGCCTGTAATCCTAGCTACTTAGGAGCTGAGATCTGAGGATTGTAGTTTGAAGCCAGTCCAGGCAGGAGAGTTTATGAGATTTTTTTTTTTTTTTTTAGTTGTGGGGCTTGAACCATTTGAGCCACAGCACCACCTCCAGTTTTCTGTTAGTTAACTGGAGGTAAGAGTCTCACAGGCTTTGAACTGTAATCCTCAGATCTCAGCCTCCTGAGTAGCTAGAATTAGTGTGAGCAGCCACTAGTGCCCAGCTGATGATACTCTTTTATCTCCAACTAACCAGCAAAAAAGCTGAAAATAGAGCTGTGACTTAAATGACAAAGTACCAGCCTTGAGTGAATAAGCTAAGGGAATAGTGCCCAAACCCTGAGTTCAAGCTACAGTACTGTCAGAAACAAGCAGACACAACAGATCCCTGTGATACTTGTTGCTCCTTTGCAAGGCCTGTGGACTTGCCCCTGCCCACACCTCCAGTCCCTTGGGGTTCTCTGCCCTCGGGAAGCCCTAGCCTTCTTGCCACCTCTGTCTCCCAGTAACGAGATCTCCATCCAAACCAGCAAATACAAGAGCCACAGATGCATATAACCTGAAGTGTCCTTCATCCAAAATATGAGATACGCTGCCAGTGGAAATTACAATCTAGCTATTGAAGACAGCATGAGAAAATTATGTAAGCTATTTCATTAACATTTTTTTGTGCCAATATCAGGGCTTGAACTCAGGGCCTTGCGCTTACTTAGCTGGAGCTCTACCACTTGAACCATTCCTCCAGTATGGCTTTTTGTTGGTTGTTCTGGAAATGAAGTCCAGCAGACTTTTCTGTCTGGTCTGGCTTTGAACTGTGATCTTCCAGGTCTCAGCTTCTTGAGTAGCTAGGATTATAGGCAAGTGCCACCAGTGCTGGACTTATCTCAATATTTTTATGTTGACTACATTCAATAACATCGAATGAAGCAAAATCTTAAATTCCCGTTTCTCTTTTCTATTTTAAAAAAGTGACTGCCAGAAAATTTAAAATCATACATGTAGCCAGACACCAAAAGCTCATGCCTTTAATCCTAGCTACTCAGGAGCTTGAGATTTGAGGGTTAGTTCGAAGCCAGCCTGGGCAAGAATGTCCATGAGACTCTGATCTCCAATTAACACACACACACACACAAAGAAGTGGGGCTGTGGGTCAGGTGGTAGAGTGCTAGCCTTGAGAAAAAAAAGCTCAGGGACAGTGCCTACATGAGCTTATGCCCCAGAACTAGCACACAGAGAGAGAGACAGAGAGACAGAGAGAGAGAGAGAGAGAAAGAGAGAGGGGGGCAAGGCAAGGCAAGGCAGAGATCGATCTCCTACATGGCTCCTATTTATTTCCTCCAGACAATGTGAGTTTGGATGAAGGGCCAGGCCCTCCCACAACCCCAAAAGGGCCTTTCTCCAAAGCGAAGGGGTCCTCTGGGGTATGAGGTGGGAAGAAGGGGAGGTCAGGGCAGGTCGTGTCTCTTGGCAGGAGGCTTAAAATGAGGGCTGGGCAGACACCAGACCAGCCTCTGAGCTCACAGAACAATGGCAGACAGATTGAGAAATGCAAGCTCCGGTCTCCTCGGCAGTTCCATGGCCCCTGGCGTGCCCTTCCCTCTGGCCCCTACTTCTCCTTTCAAAGGCTGCCGTCCCCACCCGTCCGTCTCACTATGCTGCTGAGACTTCCTGTGGCATCTGCACTGACCTGACACAGGACAGCTGTTCCCTGGGGCCCCCACAGACAGCGAAGTCTGAGCTCCCGCCTCTCCCATGCCTTAGCCTTCCCCTTCACAGACAGCCCTGCCCACATGTGTGGTGGCCACACTAGCCCACACGGCCACTCTCTCCAGGTCCTGCTGCTCCCCTAAGCTGAACGTCCCCTTTCCAAAAAGTTCTACCAAGCCGACGCCGGTGGCTCACACCTGTAATCCTAGCTACTCAGAAGGCTGAGATCTGAGGATCGAGGTTCAAAGCCAGCCCACACAGGAAAGTCCCTGAGAGACTCTTATCTCCAATAACCCGCCCCCCATCAAAACCTGGAAGTGCGCTGTGGCTCAAGTGGTAGAGCGCTAGCCTTGAGCTGAAGAGCTGAGGGACAGCGCCCAGGCCCAGAGTTCAAGCCCCACGACCGACTAAAAAAAAAGTACCACCATCCCTTAGAGCCCAGCCTAAGTCCTCCCCCCACCACCCCCGCCGACCCAAGGCCAAGCCTTGGACAATCAGCTCTTGAGGCCCCAAGACCGAGGTCTGGGTTCCTCTGCCCTTCTTCCCAGGTTGGGATCCTGGAGCTAGACCCTGGCAAGAGCCTCCTACTATGCCCAAGGCAGATAGACTGGGGTTTCTGGAAGGCAGAGCAAGCTCTCATAGAGTCCTCTCCCCACCTTCTTGGGTTACACCCCGTTCCTGAAGAACCATCAAAGTAATCTTAGCTGAACAGCTGGATTCCAAAAATAAGGAGGGAGCCAGGCGCTGGTGGCTCACGCCTGTAATCCCAGCCACTCAGGAGGCTGAGATCTGAGAATCACCATTCAAAGCCAGCCGGGGCAGGAAGGTCTGTGAGACTCTTATCTCCAATAAACCACCAGAAAACCAGAAGAAGAAGAAGAAAATGAGGGAGAGGTTGGCGGCAGTCGGTCCTGAGCACCCTGGAAGAGCCCACATGCCTCCAGAGACTCAGCCTCTCCTTTTCCCTGCTCTCTACTCTCACTCACTCCGGCAGGTCAGGGACGGGGCCAGGCATGCACCCACATTCTCACACACTCACAAGAAGGGGTGCTAGCCACTCTCTCTCCTGGGCCAGAGGAGGTCTGGTTTCAAGAACCACTACCACTCACCAGTGGCACTGGTTTCTCTAAGTGAAGGAGGCCAGCGTCTGCCAAGCAAGGGTCCCTCCTAAGCCATCCACTTTCCCACCCATCCCCTTCCCCTAGCCGAAAGCTGAGCCATGTCCCCCTCCACCTTGGCACCTCCGATCGGCTCCTGGTATTCAGTTCTCTCTATCAGCTAGGTCCCCCCCAACCACCCCAGCTCAGCCCCTAGGGCGCCCGTCCCCCAGCCCCTCCCCTCCCAGAAATTCTCTTACACTCTGGGCTGTGAAGTTCGGGGGGTATTTTTAGGCCGGCGATAAATAATTCATAGGGAAGGTGGCATCAGGCTGCCCCTGCGGGGCGAGGGGGCCCGAGCGGCAGGAGCCACCCTCACCACCGGCTCAAGGACACTCGCGCTGCGGAGGCGGCGGCGGCGGCCGGCAACTGTGACTCCGGGAGGGCGCGGGGACCCGCGCCACGCCTCCTGGTGGCCAAGCTGGGCAGCATCACGCACTGGGCGCCCCCAGCCTGGCTGCGGTCCCCCCCCCATACCTCCCCTCTGGTCTCTGCGCCCACCTGCTTCCCCACGCCGGGTCTGGACCTCACGCCTCAGGAGCTGGGAGGTGGCAGAGCTGTGGTCCAGGTCCCCGCTGGGGCCACCCTGGGGGATAGAAGCGAAGCCAAGTGTCCACCGTCCAGCCTGGGTGTCCCGTCCACGTTCTTACCCTTCCACCATCAGGAGCTCTGCGCCAGAAACCAGAGTTTTTTTGGGGGGTGGGGAATAAGAGCCAGGGGCGCCCTCTCCGAATAAAGCGCGTGCCCATATTTTCCAGAATCTCAGGGATCAAACCAGGACCTGGCCAGCCTCCCAGGGCTAGGAGAAGCCGCCACAAGTCCCTGTTGGATGAGGAGGGCTGGGAAGGAGGGCGGGCCGACGGGGCTCGGCTCATCCCGCAGGAGCCGGTGGGTGCCTCTGTATTTGTTTGTCTCTGCCCTGCGCAAGAGCTCCAGAGCCTCAGGCTTTTCCTCCCCGCCCTCCCCGTCCATCTAAGCCCCGGGAGCCGCCAGCAGCCGCGGGTGCTGCCTGGAGGGGGGGGAAGGGAGGGGGTCAGCGTCAAGGGGTCGGGTGTTGGCTCTCTCAGGGCCTTCTTAGCCCACCTTTCCCTTGGCATCCTGGGGCCCCTGAGGCCCCTGGGGCCAGGGCAGGCGTGCAGGGCGTTTGGATGAAAACAACCAATCCAAGCGCCTACTCTGATTTCATTCATTTTGGTGGTGGTCCTGGGGCTTGAACTCAGGGCCTGGACACTGTCCCTGAGCTTTTGTGCTCAAGGCTAGTGCTTGATCACTTGAGCCACAGCACCACTTCTGCTACGTGGTACTGAGGAATCGAACCCAGGGCAAGCACTCTACCACGGAGCCACCTTCCCAGCCCCTGCTCGGATTTCTGGAGGTCAGAGGATGGGACAGAGAAGGGAAGGAAGGGTGGGGAGGGGAGGCGCGGGGCCACAGGCTGTCCCAGGCGGCAGACGCACCCAGCAAACCCCGGGAACCAGCCCTCCACCCACCGCCCCCCACAACCCAGCCTCCGCCTCCAGGTGCGGACCCCCACTCCCCCATAGTCCAAGTGGCGTCCAGCAGCAAGCAACAGTTGGACCGAGCGGCCGAGATCCCTGCACCCCCCCCCCCAAAGCGCTGGGTGCCAGGCAAGGGGGAGGGGGAGGGCTCGGCGGCCCCGGGGACAAACATCGCGTCCGCGTCCGGGGTGACTGCTGTGTGAACCCAGTCACCCCCACCCCCGGCCTCTTCCTGGCCTCCTCCAAACCCCAGATCGGGTTCCAGAGGGGTCCCTGTGGTCTCCCCGGGTCCCGGAGCGGCTCGTCTGACTGCCCCCTCCCTCCCCCGCGGGGTCCCGGGTCTGTCTTCGCTGTCCTTGCCCGGGCCCAAGTTGGCCATGAAGTTGGTAACTCCCTCCCTCACCGCGCCCCCCGCCACCCCCGCCACCCCATCACTC